CACAATGCCAACATGTTTTTGGTCTGTACTGACCCTCTTGCTTCCTTCTATCCTAGCCAGCACCGACTAATGCCTGATTAAATGGACCTGATCAGCTAAGCCCCGGGCTTCAAAGGGCCCCCCCATAATTTCTCCCTAGCATGCTGTCTGATTTTGTTTTCCAGCAGCAAAGCAGCACCCCCTCTCCTTGCCCTGCAGAGCAATTTGGGGGACCTGAGCTAGAATCACCAGTGCCCTGTGCCTTGGATAAGATCCACCCTTATTCAGAGCCTTTTGTGGCCACTTATCAGGGCAAACCAGACAAGTTTACACCCACTGTGCATGGGTATAAATGTCTATGTAAGGTGCAGAGCAATGAGGAATCAGACCCCCTGTACTGTGGATTAATCTGAGCCATGTTAAATATTCACCCTTCCCTCATCCTCCCCTGAACCTTCATGTTGCCAGCCCTGCTCCAGAGACTGGGCCAAATTTTGCTCCCTGGTGTGAATCCAGAGCAACCCCATTAAAAACCCCGTGTACTGCAGATACTGTGTGCGGCTAAGCTGAGAATGCCCCATTGTCTTCAGCAGTGCAAAGGGCTAGGAGAGGAAGCACACAGAACTTGCAGCTTGAGACAGATGGAGGAACGGCCTGCTGGGTCCTATATCTCCTGGATCCCTGCACAGTGCACATTCACCCTAAAGCACCAGGTCCCCTTCCAGCTATGTCACTGCATGCAATTGCTATCAGCATTTGTTGTACTTCTTCCTCTTTTGAGTGCAGGCTCAAGGGCCATCTCTCTCTCTCTCTCTCTACCTTTCCTCCCCATCTCCCACTCTTAATGTTTCAAACCAGAGCATTTTAAAGCCACTCCCTGGTTTGGCAACATGCCGTCCTGTGTAAACAAAACCCAGAAGCCTCAAACTAACTTCGATGGAGTTTATAAAAAGCCCCAGAGCCTCTTTGTGCCACCAGCAGCATGTGGCAATGTTTAAGGAGGGAGAAAATAAGAGTGCCTGCCTTGTAATTAGGCTGGCTGTAAATTAGGTCCTGTCAGAGCAGCACAGCCACTAATCAGCACTGGGCCGCTAGGCCAGGGCGGGGTGGGAGGAGGCAGCCCCCCTGATAACAGCCCTGAGGGCCTCGAGGTTTCAATCCATGCTTAGATCCTGGAGGAAAGTATTTGAGAAGGAATTAAAATAACCTGCTCTAGACGGGGCAGGGAGTCATGGATTCCCAGCTCCCTGCCCCGTTGGGGGAGAGCAGCAGAGACAGGATGGAGCTCCCTCTTCTCAGAGAGCCTGAGCTGTAGATCCCCTCTGCCAGCTGACCCCACCGGGGCCCTGGGAACACTCCCCTTCCACAGCCCAGGGCCACTTCCCGTCAGGACAGCCTCGGCCCGGCTCCTGCCGGGATGGCCAGTGGCAGGCTCCCCTGGGAGAGCGCAGCTGGCAAGGGTCCCTTTGGAATCTCAGCGGCTTTCAGGCCAGCTCCTGCCGCCCTTTGTCACACTGAGCAGGAATCAACAGGGCCTCTTGCAGAGTAAGGCAGTGCTCGGTGTGCATCACAGCTGCATAATGGCTGCTGGTGGGCAGAGACCACGGCCTACCATACTGACCAGTAGTGTCTCATTGGTTTTTTGGACTCCCCCGTCTGTCTGTATCCATCTGTGGTCTCTTGTCGTATAGTTAGATTGTAAACTCCTTGGGGATGGGACCATCTTTTGGTCTGGGGCTGTACAGTGCCCAGCACAGTGGAGGCCAGGGCCATGACTGGGACACTCCGATATTATAAATAATAAAGAATAGTACTCCCCAAATGAGCCCAGTCCTTACCCCGAATCAGACCAGGATTCACCAGCTCCACTGGTGGCAGCAGCAACGGAAGCTGGAGTATAAACAGGAGTCAGCCAGCTTGTCCTGATCTCCTGGGGAGATCGTGCAGCTCCACCCCTTTCCAACAGCAGGAGCAATATTGGCCATGGGGCCCAAAGCCTAAACCCCTCTTGGCTGGACCCCACCCATCCTCTGAATGAATCACCCAATAGACTAGGGCTGCACCAGCATACGTGGTGCCCCACAGAGTCACCTGGTATGGATCTGGGGTGCAGCTAATGGGCGAGACTAGTAGGTTTAGAAGGGAGATCCAGTGGAGAAGCAACTCGTGCTGCTGGACCCTACAACCAATACTGCAAGGGAATTTGCCTTTCCTTTCTGCTCAGGGGCGTGTGACGCTTGGGGCTTACTCTTACCTTGCCTTGTTTGTCCCTTGGACACCTCCAAGCTGTACCCTACCACCCAGAATCTGGTGATTCCCAAGAATGCAAAATATCAGATGAGTGCCAGGTCACAGAGAAGAGAGGTGGATTCGGGGGAGTCACTATTAGGATGTCCCTTCAGCAACAGTGACCATCAAAGCTCCCAGCATGGCTTGAGCTGACCATGGACATCAGAGTTCTCTGCCAATCCCCAGGATGGCCTGAGCTCACTGGGGCATCTGAACACACACAGTGCAAGCCCTGGCTGGGATGATTTAGTTGGGGTTAGTCCTGCTTTGAGTAGGGGGTTGGACTAGATGACCTCCTGAGGTCTCTTCCAACCCTAATCTTCTATGATTCTATGTCCTTTCAGTGATATCCCTGCCAGCCTTGGAATGCTACAGGGACCGCCCGAGGAGTAAAACAGAACAGCCCAGGTTATCTACAGAAATATCACAGCGTCTCCACCCTAGGAGACCACAGGAGGCAGGGGTAGCAGGAGCCCAGCTAGGCTACAGCCAGATTAATTGGCTGCCTAACCAGAACAACTAAACTCTGGACAAAGATCAATGGTGAACAAACCAATGAGAAGCCAGTTAAGCGAGCCAATCAAGGCTGCAGTGAAAGGCAAAGAAGTGGCTGACTGGACATTCTCAGCATTGGCCATAACCAGAGTTCCTTGCATGTTTTGGGTGTTGAATCTGTGTACTAGCCAATCAGAACTCTGCTTCTTCGAGTCTGGCAGCCAATGAGATTGCTTGGTTGGCAGGAGAGGCGCCCCCATTGGCTTCCAAAGTCAAAAGGCACAATATTTGGCTGATAATGATATGCTACAATTCTCCTGGAGTCTCTACAGCTTTGACAATGTCAAGCTGCCCTGGGCTGAAAAGCCAAATACACCAAGAGGAGCATTAAAAGCAGCCTGCAAACTAGTTACCCACATCTGTGGGGAAAACCCACTGTTGTTCTGTTCAGCTAAAAGGGGCCCCTTCTGTGGGAAGTCTGGGGTACCCCATGTGCAAGGCAGAGGGGCGGAGCTGAGCGAGTGTGACTAAATATCAAAGTTCCTTCAGGACCCCAGGGGGATATTTAATGACATTTAACAGGCCAGGAGATGGAGAAATAGTAAATTGCTCCCTGAGATTCCCACCCTGGTTCTCTCAAGGGATGGGCAAAATTCAAAGGGGGCAGAGGTGCTGTTCAGATGCTCATCATGCCCTCTGGATGCTTAATCTTGCCTTGGCATGGGGAGAGGGACTAGATTCCCTCTTCAGCCTTCCATTTCTATGATTCTCTGAACCTCACCCCAATTCTCCAAAAGTGCACTGTCAGGCAGGACATTTTACAAAGATGGGCAGATTTCCATTGCTTTATGCTTCCACCCATGCCAGAAACCCAGCCAAACAGCCTTCCTTGTGATCATTTGGATTTCCCATCCTTGCTCCTGAATGGAATCAAGGCACGGCAAAAATGAAAAAAAAAAAATCATGAAGGAAGGGGCTGAGAGATTTTCAAACCTGAAAAATGTTTTGGGTGAAGGTTCAGGTTGGTTCTTCGTTGATCAGAACCAGAGCACCCATCCCTATATGGGAATCTTCAGTATAATGAATTTGTAAGTCATAACTAAGGCTAAGATTTTGTCATGCATATTTTTAGTAAACGTTACAGACAGGACATGGGCAATAAAGAAAAATTCATGGAAGCCGTGACCTGTCTGTGACGTTTACTAAAAATATGCATGACAAAATGGGTCGCCCGGGGTGCCTGGCTCGGAACTGCAGGGTCCCCACATCACTGATAGCTCCAAGCTTGGGGGCACCCCTGCCACCTGCGGTGCCTCTGGCTCGGAGCTCTGGGACACCCCTGCCAGCCGCAGGGGCTCCATGCTCCGGGGCACCCCTGCCAGCCATGGGGCTGGGAGCTGCGGAGCACCTGTGCTGCCCGCAGTGGCCGGTAGCTCCCAGGACCCCGCTGCCCGTGGCGGCTGGCAGCTGCGGAGTGGCCCTACTGCCTGCAGTGGCAGGGAGCTCCCAAGGCCCCACTGCCTGCAGCAATCAGGAGCTGTGGACCAGCCCCGCTGCCCGCGGCGGTGGGGAGCTCCCGGGGCCCCACTGCCCGTGGTAGCTGGGAGCTGCAGATGGGCCCCGCTGCCCGCGGTGGCTGGGAGCTGCGGGGCACTCCTGCCGCCCTCTGTGGCTGGGAGCTCAGGCCCTACAGTTCACAGCTACCAGGCATGGGGGAACCCTACAGCTCCCAAGTGCTGGGGCTCAAGTCACAGAGGTCTCTGGAAGTCATGGATTCTGTGACTTCCGTGACAAAGTCATAGCCCCAGTCATAACTCAATTCATATTAGGTAATCTCTCTCAAACCCAAACTACCATCTAGTGGCCTTGGTCCCTTAACAGGAACTAGGGATTCAGATTCAAACACCCAGGCTCATTTCTTTTCTCTTTCCCCCCTTGGGCACGCCCCTGTATTCACTAGCCTCCCAGATCTAGTCCCGACATGTACATTGCAGCTTGAGCCTCCCATGGTGCAAAGGAGGGGGCAGGCCTGGATTAAGACCTAGGTTCTACAGGCCCATGTTTAGACCCTCGAGCTCTTGGAATCACATGATCACAACAGAATCTGAGATTTCATTAAGAAGAACAGTCAGTTTCTAGCCCTTCTGATTGGGAAGTTTGAAACCAGGACCTCAGGGTAACCAAGTAACTATGCCCCATTTCCATTAGCCATTAGAAACTGCCACACATAGAGAGACTTGTGATTTGTGAAGTTATTTAATCACTTAAATAGTAACAACCAAGGTTAGACTAATGGCGCAGCCAGCGTTAGACACAGTAACAAAAGAATAGGGTTCCAAGGGAAGTCGATAACACCCCATAGCCAAGATCCCAGGACAAATAAAGACCAAAGGAGAAGGAAAGGAGGAGAGGAACCACAGTGCACAGACTCAGCTATCTTGAGCACGAGTCCATGCAAACTACCAGGATGCAAAAGGAACTATTTTCACACCTCAGACCACATCAAAGGGCAAGCTGTGAAATGAGTTCCGGGGCACATGAATACCTCAGTGGTGCTTTGTAGTTGGTGTGAGGCATTGGTTGCTTTGGGTTACAACAACAGAGGTTGCAATGTGCGGTGGTTTGGTTTTCTGGGTTATACTGGATTAGCAGTGTTTTTAGGAGGCTACCAGAGTGGCCCACATGTGTTTCCAGGAGCCCGCAAGGCCCCTGGATCACTTTCCGTCATCGTCGTTAGCGAACAACTTGTAGTTGAAGAAGTCCATCGATTCCTGAGCGAGCTTGGAGAGGTGGATCACACCTGTGATCACCAGGGCAATGAGCAGCAGTGGCAGCAGCAGGCTCCACACCATCGCCAGGATGTTATAGCATTTGGCTTTGGAGCTGAAGCGGCGAGCGGCCTCGATGTCACCAGCCACCTTCTGATCCCGTGCCTGCAACAGCCAAGCCAGGAAGGGTGCAGCGAGTTAGTGACATGGCAGAGGAGGCAAAGGATGAGGCAATGCCCTGAGAGCAACGCAATCGAATTACAAGCATCAGAACAGGCTGCAACCACCCACTGCAGCTCTCAGTGGCTGTCTGTCACTCACCTCACTTCCATCTGCCCCTTGCTCTGGAGCTGACTGTTCTCTCCCCGCTCCAGTCTCTCTGAACTTCTCTGTCAGCCTAATCCAGTGAGTCTAAGCAAATAACTGACACCTTCTGCTGGCTCCCTCACCGGACATGTCACAGCAAAGCAGACTCACCCACTCACCAACTGATAACTTACCCCTCCTTTACCATACACATCATCTCTGAATTTGGCCCACTAAGTCTCAGCTGGTGTAACTCAACATGAGGAGGGGCCAGGAGAGAGGTCTGTAACTAGAAACATCACAGGGCACTGCAAGAATGTGTGAATTAAAGTAGTTCCCATCCCACTTTAATTTACACCTTCCTCCAGCTCCCTGATGTGTTAATTAAACCACTTTCAGCTCCCTTATGCATCAGTAAACGATTTACAGCACCTCTGACCTTAGCCCACTGTCTGCCTCTTTGTGTCTCAGCTTTATCTCATCACACACTCACTCACATGCTCCTTTGCTGTTGGCATCTCTTAGCAAATCAAATCCAAGGAGGAGCAGTCTCTCTGATGTCTGACCCTATATGAATGATCCTCAGCAGAGAGATCTGGGAACAGAACCGTTACTCTAACCCTCTTCTTCCCCCAGTTCTCTAGGAAGTGCCTCTTGCTGACTTCATTAAATCCATTCCCAGCAGTTTAGGATATACCCCTCCCCCATTCCTGAACAGAGCAGATTCCCAGCTGCAAGGTGTGGGATACGGAGGAGTCCCTCCACATGGATCATGGTCCCTGGGCATCCTCTGGAGTAGAGAAGTCAGTCCCCAGAACCTCATTCATATATGGATGGCACTAATTATGGGATAACAGGAAAGAGTGATTGCCAAGACAGCACGCAGCTTCATTGATGTGTGGCAATCTAGCTGGGGATATTATTTAGATGATACACACCAGCCTCAGCCAGCATGAGGACGTGGTGCTTAAGGATGCTGCACCAGCACATGGTGCTCACATAATTCCTGATGCTCTTTACATAAACACTGCAGTCAGCTATCCTGCCCCATCACTGCCCTTTCAGACCCAGCCACTGAATCAGGAGGCTCAGGCAGTCTGTCCTGGAAATGCCAGAGCAGCTGTCACAGATAGTTGTATTTTTCACAGTATTTTTCCTTTTTAAAGGTAGAACTCCAGCTAGTGGGCAGCACTGGGCAATTTCCTCCACTAGGACAGTGCTAACAAGGTGAGATTTAGGACTGAGACAAACTGAAGCCAACTGCCGATAACAACTTTCTACCGGGTCACAGTAGTGCCAGTAGGGCGGTACCCTCTGGTACGCAGTACCGGCAGGAGATTTTTTAGCGGGTACGGGGTACCGGAAAGACTTGGGGCTAGCCCCCTCCCCCTTCGGAGGGGGGAGGGTCATGACATTCTTCCAGCATCTCCTAGATTTTTCACATCACTTCCCGATTTTAGGGTATATTACAACTCAGAGAACAGAGAGAGATCCCAGAATCGCTAGGTAACCTGGGTGAAGTTTATAATTCCTACCATAATCCCTGGGAAATCCTAGCATCTCCTAGGTCAACTCAATGTATCATTCTTACATCTTAGTGCATCTAGTCTCTAAAGAGACCCCCAGGAAGGAATCTCCATGTAAAACTAGATGCACTGAGATGTACACTTCCTAGCCGAGTCCCCTAGGAAATCCTGAAATCTCCAAGTGACTGGGAGACATGGACACAAAAGGGTCCGTTTCTGCACTAGAGTCAGCCTTTATGGGCTTGTGTAGAAGAGGGAGAGGAGAGCTGGGCTGTCTTACCTTGACGGAGTAGGCAAGAGCCACTAAGCCAAAACAACAGAGGTTCATGTAGATGGTGTTGAAGATGGACCAGATCAGGTGGTCCCGGGGCACTACGGAGGGTCCGATGGTGATGACGGTGGGAGAAGTGTCCTGCTTGCGGGACGTCATGGGCAGGTAGTCCTCACGAGGGTAAGACGTGTCCATGGTCCTGGAAGGCGAAATCCTCAGCTCTCCTGTGGTAGCAGCCTGTAAGGGGAGCCAGTGCAGGGCAGGTCCTTTTTATAGTCTCTGCCTGAGGCACAGCTCCATCTCCCTCTATATATAAAACAGGGAAATTACAGCCCTCGCCTGGCTGTGGTTATCAGAAATGTTTGGCCAAAGCTGAGAGCAACATACTTGGGTTTGTAAGCCTGTCCTCCCCTGATTGTGTATGGAGCGCTTTTTATAGCCTCGTGGGCTGAGGCCTCCCTGTCAGCCTTTTCCAGAGAGCTGGGCAGCTCAAGGCACTGATTCAGGAACCCGGCTTCGAAAGGACGTGCTGCAGATCCTGAGCCCTGCAAAGGGCCATGGACCATACAGGATTGTGCGTGGCAATTCTGTGTTATAACCCATCAGGGACAGAGAGGGAAGCTGGAGGCACAGCAAGGTACGTGTACAGGGCAATACAAGTGCATTGAAAGAGCTCTTTCTTCTCAAGCCCTAAAAGATCAATAACTTCCCAGAGGGAATTGCATTTCTCCTGCTGTCTCTATATGTTTTTCTGGGTTTTGCATTATCCTTTGCTAAATATTCTAAAATGTACGATTCCCATTCATCTACAGCTCTGAGACCCAAGGTGACGCCCCCACGTCAGGAACTTCACAAATGAATCATCCACGAACGGTAAAGCACTTTGAAATGGAGAGCTGCTGCCAAGGCTAGGGAGGGGCTGAAACAGGGCCCTAACGGAGCTAGCTTTGCAAACCCCTGGCTAGACCCTCAAAAGTATTTAGGCACCAAAGTCAATGGGAGTTAAGTGCCTAAATACCTTTGAGAAATTGGGCCCTGTGCCTATCCTGGAATGAATGCCCCATAGAAGTGTTCTCCAAGACAGCTCCAAGGACTGTTCGAGCAAGGGGCTATTGTTCATGGCATGGGACTGAAGTACTTATATTCAAGGAGGAGATGTGAAGCCAGCATCTGCCCTCAGTTACATTGACGTAAAAGAGTAAAATCTGCTCCACAGGGTCCATTCCAGGCTGGCAGATATCCAGGTCAAGTTTTCTTCTTCCAGAGTCCAGAGCAGGTTTTTTTACCTCTCTGAAACCCCAGGGCTCAACCCTAGCAGTGGCTGGAGCAGCTCTGATCATAAGACCAACCAGACTTCAGTAAGAGTAAAGACAAATCAGCAGCAAGTCTAATATTTCTAATGTCTCTGTGCTCAGAAGTTCTGGCTATTTCAGTGCAACCCCCAGTAATTCACAGGAATATGCTGGTGTTGTCTTTTCAGGTTTGACATTGGCCATCAGACAGCTGTCACACTAAGGATTCCAGTCTTTACCAAACCAGGTTGGCTACAGGTACATACAACTCTCACAACCAAGAGATTGCTGCCTTTCAAAGTCGCTTGCCCAGAATAAAGACTAACTGGATATTGCAGTTCAGGGGATGGGTTGCTTAGGACTCAGGCACCCTCCACGTATCAATGGAAGAGTGAATGCAGGTGAGAGACAGGAGGTCAGAGCTGAGATACCTGAGACAAGCACCTTAGCAATTCTACAGATTAGATGGATGGCAGTGATTCTAGTACCAGCCCTGATACAGCACAATAGGGAGAGCTGTAGTGTTAGAGGGCACCATCCATATGACCAAGGCTACTACAGTCACACACCTGGAAAAGGAAAGAGCTGCTCATGTTAAATCCAGCTGTACTGATAATATTGCAGGATACTTCCCTTTCTACCACCATAGCTTTCTGCCAGGGTCTTGGCTATGGTGCCTCTCAAGATCTGTAACAGTAACCACTGCTGTTCAGGGGGTAGCAGTTCACAGGGTCCAGGAGGTGCCTGGCACACGTTGGGGTGCAGTAAAATAAATAATATTTGTAATGGCTATAATGTATACCTGGGGCAGTGGGATCTCCTCTTGGAAAGGCTGAAGATGGGATGAATCATTTGCAAGGCTCCTTGGTACCAAAAAGGATGTGGGTGAAAAGCCAACGAGCTATGTACAGAGCCTGCAGGCTTTACTTAGCAAAGTTTCTGCAGGCAGAGGTGTTCCCACCACAGAGTCTAACAAACAACAGCTGAACAACTCTATACCAGGCTCTGACTCTTATCCTCCAACGAGAAGCAAGTGAGCCCACCACCATTCTCTAACCTGCTGTTGTTATCAGAATTGAAGATGATCGACATGTAGCTCTAAGTCTGTTCCTGCAGCCCCTGGTATTGTTCAAACATCAGGACTCAGGGTACATCTACACTACAGGGGGGAGTCGATTTAAGATACGCAAATTCAGCTACGTGAATAGCGTAGCTGAATTCGACGTATCGCAGCCGACTTACCCCGCTGTGAGGACGGCGGCAAAATCGACTTCTGCGGCTTTCTGTCGGCGGCGCTTAGTCCCATCTCCGCTGGTGGAGTAAGAGCGCCGATTCGGGGATCGATTGTCGCGTCCCAACGGGACGCGATAAATTGATCCCCGAGAGGTCGATTTCTACCCGCCGATTCAGGCGGGTAGTGTAGACCTAGCCTGAGACTCCAAAAAGTCATAATATTGGCTTAAAAATCATGAGTTTTTTTTAAAAAATAATACATTGGGGGTTCTTTGTATTTGTTTTTGAGCCTTTAGGACAGAGGTGGGCAAACTACGGCCCGCGGGCCACATCCGGCCTGCGGGACTGTCCTGCCAAGCCCTTGAGCTCCCGGCCGGGGAGGCTAGCCCCTGGCCCCTCCCCTGCTTCCCCCCTCCCCCGCAGCCTCAGCTCGCCATGCCACCAGCGTGGGAGGGGGCTGCACTGCGGGGGCAGGGGAGCTGAGCAGGGAGGGTGGCGGGAGCGCGGCCGGAGGACTCAGGAGGAGCACCAGGCAGCCATGCAGCCAGCTGGAGAGAAGCGGCACTTTGAAAGGGAAACCGCCACTTCTCTCCGGCTGCGCAGCTGCCCCTGATCCTCCTGAGTCCTTCACCCATGTTCGCAGGGCCAGGTTCCGAAAGGGGCTTTAGAGGGGTGGTTGGATGGGGGTGGGGTCCCAGGGGGCCTGTCAGGGGGAGGGTGTGTGGATAGGGGGAGGGGCAGTCAGGGAGCAGTGGGGAGTTGGATAGAGGGTGCGGTCCCGGGGGGGGCGGTTAGGGGACAAGGAGTAGGGGGGGTTGGATGGGTCAGGGGTTCTGAGCAGGGCCTGTCAGGAGGTGGGAAGTGGGAGGGGGTGAATAGGGTTAGGGTTTGGGGAGGCACAGCCTTCCCTACCCAGCCCTCCATACAGTTTTGGAACCCCAGTGTGGCCCTCAAGCCAAAAAGTTTGCCCACCCCTGCTTTAGGATATTCTCAAGTCCCAGTTTTGTGATCTACTCTGCAATCGAGATGGTTAGAAACTCACTTTTTTTTTTAAATGAAAGTTGAGATTTCCATGCAGTCATGTGGGCTTTAAGAAAAATACCAAATGTAACTTCCCTCCTCCCCTCCCCCCCTGCCCCGCATCCTCCTTACCATAAGTGATGCTGTGAAACTTACCTGGGCCTGGAGTCCCAGAAGCCGTTGCTGCCCCGTTGCCAGGCAACCCTCCCTTAAGCAGAGAGGAGGCCAGAGAGACGGAACTAAAGCAGCTGCCCAGATGTCCCAAAAAAGGGGGGCTCTGGTTGGTTTTTGACCCCAGATGCCTGAGAGAGAGGAGGCAGTCACTCCTTCTGGGGTGTCAGTTGAAAGGGAAGAGAGGGAGCATCCAGCTCCCTTCACTGAGTGACTGGTTTGAGAATTTTCCCACTCCTCAGTTGGGAAACTCCATTGAGTTAAGTTCCCGGTGGGCCTACCACACCACTGCAAAGGGAATGTGTGCCTGACGGACTGTTCAGCTGCCTCAGCCTACAGCCAGATCGCTGACAGTTACTTAAGCCAGGAGGAAAAGCAGAAAGCTTATAGCTAAGCTTGTTGCCCCAGTGTGAGGCCTGGTCTACACTACAGAGTTAGGCCAACATAAACCACCTTGCATCGACCTAACTATGGAAGTGTCAGAGGGTCTGAAGAAGTGAGGTTCTTACCCATGAAAGCTTATGCTCCCAATACTTCTGTTAGTCTTAAAGGTGCCACAGGACCCTCTGTTGCTTTTTACAGATTCAGATTAACACGGCTACCCCTCTGATATGGAAGTGTAGACACTTAAATTTCGCTCCCGTCAATGTAACTGCCTGGCTACGCTGACTTACTAACTCCATCTCCATGAGCAGCATAGCGTCAAGGTCAACGTAGTTAGGTGGATTCAGTATCAGCATAGACACTGCGTTGCTTATGTCGCCTGTTACCGGCTTTCAGGAGCCTTCCCACAATGCCCCACACTGGGGAAATATAATTTATACAAGTGCTCCTGGTGATGCCACACAGCGCTGACACAAGGGGCTAAGTGTACGCACACACAAGCGATGTAATCACTGCAGCTAGGATTACCATATTTCAAGTTCCCAAATGGAGGACACTGCCAGGGGGAGGGGGAGCCAGAGGGGCGGGGGTACCATGCCACCCTTACTTCTGTGCTGCTGCTGGTGGCGGTGCCGTGTGCTAGTATTGTTCAAGTAGGTATTAGACCTATAAGGATGTGTGTAGTGGTTAGACTTTATTAAATGCTTGTGAGCTGCTGCATGCACTAATCTCCATATGCTATATTGTAAGGTAGTATTTGAGCAGTTGTATTGTAAGCCTGCGTGACAATGTAACTCACCAGACAGGAGAGAAACATTAACTAGTGTAAAGTGCTAATCTGCAACAGAAGATGTTTCGTCCTGCCCAACGGGAAAGGTCCATCAACACCAAACGGACTATTGTGGGACATTAAAGAGGACAAAAGACTCAGTTGTCCTGTTCTCTTCACCCCCATGAAGATGAGTTATGCAACTGAATTCCTCCCATCAGCTTAGGCTGAAGAGATATAAAAACCTCCAATAGAAGGAATTGATTATCTCTGTGCTGCTTAGACTCTGGGGGTCAATAATTTCTAGGAATAAGCAAGAGGTCCCCAGCTGCTTAGCCTGGGTTAGCCCTAAAGGACACATAGAGCTTGCTGAACATAGAAGCTTCTATTACCTTTTGAAACTTAAGGGTTTTTTAATACATTTGTTTATCTATGTTTATCTGCTTTAATGTTGTAAATAACTTGGCCAAAGAGTAGCGTTAACCCTTGCAATACCAGTGCAGGGCAAGCACGCCCCAACACAGGGGGTCTTAACTACAGCTGGTCCAGAAATTTTCATTGAAACAGTTCTCTCCTGGAAAATAGCTGTTTTGACAAAGCCTACATTTTTTGTGCCTCAATTTAGTATCAATTTTAAATAAATTCCATTTTGGGAAAAAAATGGGGGGGGGGAATCCCCCATTTTGACATTTTTGGAACAAAACGTTTTGATTTTTTCATTTTGAAATGACTTTGTTTTGACTTTATTTTAAAAAATAAGAATAAATTTTAAAAAGGGTTGAAATTGAAACAAAATGTATCAATTGACCCAAAACTATTTTTTTTATTTTGTTTTACAAGAAATTTTGGCATTTTGTTCCTTTTTGGGACAAAGAAAAAAATCTAAATCTTGAATTTTTTTTTGTGGACAGAAAATAAATTTTTCTTCCAGCTCTAGTCTTGAGCCACACGCTTCAGAACACCAGTTGGGGTCAGACAGTAATTTCACCCAGGACATAATCTTGCAGCATCAGGCACAATCTGGAGAGTTTATGCTTGTTGCATGTTCAAATTTAATAATGAAAATATTAATAACACAAGATGTCAGATAGCTGGTTCATTTGCAATTCAATCAAAGATTATTAGTCAAAGATTAATACAGCCTGATACAGAATACAGAAAGGAATACATATGTTACCAATCTGATCACTGGAGAAGTGACAGCCACTCAGTCCACTTCTGACTTAACTCCCCAAAACTCTTTCCTTATACATAGCTTGGGACAAAGAAATTCCGTTCCCATGGGCTGATTTAACTGCGAGTTCTATCTTAGATGCCTCAATTTACCCTCATGAATAAGATAAAGACATCTGTGACTGATTCATTATTACCAAAACCACTTGTGACAATAAGTGGTTCTTATTGACCTAAACATCAACCAGTGGTTCATTATTTCATCAATCACAGAATACATGTGTAATAACAAACATCCCTTGCCAATCAACAGTGGTCCCTCTCTGGACATGGGAATGCAATTCTGCACAGGTCAACAGGGTCAGAGGAAAGGATTATACACATTCCATTACTGATTACAAACATTCATTCCTTTGGTCCCTCACTAAGGTTCAACCTAAGTACAAAGAACTTTTCAGTTTGATAGGTACAGAGCACTAGATTTGTAGATACAAAACATTTTGGTTTATACCCCAAAAAGGATTTTGGTTAACATATATAAAATATGTATAAAAATATATAAAATAATTGTAGCAGTTTTAGTATCTACTAACATGCTTCACTCTGAAGTCTCCAGCATTGAGACCCCAGACTAGATGAGATTACAATATCCTTTCTCATCTGTGGCTCTTCTGCCATTTCTTGTAGATCACTTTCTCCCCAGAGAGACCTCCCCAGTTCCCTGGCAGGCACAGAGGTGGTGGACACCAAATTGATGGTCTCCTGAGTTATGTAGATTGGTGGGTAGGACTTCACACTCACATTCCTCCCACCCCTCCGCTCCATCGGAGCACCTCGGACCCACATCCTGCCCTTCTATGAGAGGGGGCAGGTCAAGGAGCAAACTCAAAGTCCACTTGAGAATTTTTTTTCCCAAATTCTTGTTGGAAGCACAATTCAGCCCTATAGATGCACTGATTGTAGGAATGGGCCCAAGGGTAAAGAGGAGGAATGGAGCCAGGGGATGAAGGAAGCACATACCTAGCTTTGGAATACTAAATAAAGCAAGGGTTCTCAAACTGGGGGTCAGGACCCCTGAGGGGGTCATGAGATTATTACATGGGGGGGTCGCAAGCTGTCAGGCTCCACCCCAAACCCTGCTTTGCCTTCAGTATGTATAATGGTGTTAAATATATTTAAAAGTGTTTTTAATTTATGGGGGGGGTCACACTCAGAGGCTTGCTATGTGAAAGGGGTCACCAGTACAAACGTTTGAAAACCACTGGAATAAAGGCACCCGAGTGCCCGATGCTTCTGCTTGCAAGGGATGTGTCAGACTCTGATGCATTCACTTATTTAGGACTCAGCCCAATTCTTCCCAGACTGACCCAAGGGGAGAGGGAGAAGGGAAACTCCCCACACTTTCAGTACAACTGCTGCTTCTGTACTGGGGTCCTGGAACTGGCTGCAGGAGGCCTGGGTGTGGAGGGAACTGAGTGT